CCTACGTTGCCTTCAGCTGCCTTGAAGAGTCACAGGGAGAATGAGATGGGTCAGGAGCCTGCAAGAGTAAATGAGGCTTTGATTTTCAAAAATGGGGGAAAGGATAGACTTAGGAGAGAGGGCCACGTGAGTGTGTGTCTAGAAGCGATGGTTAAGCTGAGGCCCTCACTGCTGTGGCCTCCTGAGTGGTCTCTCTGTGCTTCCCTCGGCCTCCCCCCACGCCCATGATCTGAGGATCCGCTTGAGTCAAATCCGCCCACGTCTGCTCAGGACCGTCCAGTGTCTCCCCTCTCACTGGAGGGAAAGCTCTTGAGTCCTCGCAGGAGCTTATGAGGCCCAGCCCCACCGCCAGGCTATTCCCTTCCCTCAGGGCTCACGGTTCCTCTCCCTCCACCCTCCTCCTCGCTCTGGGCTTCCTGCCTGCCTTCTCTGTTGGGACCACTCTTCCTCCAAGATAACTGGTTGGTTCCCTCCCCCAAGGCATTGCTCAAACATCAGCTTCTCAGCAAGGCATTTCCTGAGCCCTCCAGTGTAGCCTCCCCACCCCAACTCATCCTCTTCCCTGCCTCAAGCTTTTCTCCATGGTATTTGCTACTACCCAAAAGGCTACATATTCTTACTTATCTGTCCTGTTCATCAACTTCCTTCACTGACTAAACTGTAAAGTTTATGGGCTCCGAGAGTTTTATCTGCATCCCCAGTCCCTCGAACTGTGCCAACTGTGCCAACTGCATAGTCTTGTCCATTAAATGCTTGTTGATGGGAAGGCAGAAAGGAGAACAGGAGGAAGGATGGTGGCTGGTACGCTGAGAAAGAGGTCACTAGACCAGCGTGACCAACCATCCCCGTTTTCCCAGGACAGAGAGTTTCTGAAACAAGGGATTTTCAGCGCTGAGGCCGGGAAAGACCCAGTTGGTCATGCTACACTAGATCAGCCCAACTCAATGACTCCTGCATATGGGGACTAATCTGAGAGCTCTCAGCACTGCCTTATGCTCACTCTCTCCTCGTGTTGGCAGAGCCTCCCATGAAGTCTGTCTCGTGGGAGAATGCACAGACGTGGGCTGCAAGAGGGTGTGTTTATGCGGTTTGTAGCTGGCTGAGCACCCATCTCAGATGTGTTGATGGATGGGTCCATGTCAGCTGTGGGAAGGCCGCTGTGGTGAGCCACAGAACCATATCCTGGCCTGCATCTTCTCCACGATCTGGGCCGTGGATGAGGACAGAGAAACAGGGTTGGATACTGCAGAGGCGTGCCCTAGCCAGGGGCAACCCACACCATGAGCAAGCCTGAGTAGGGTTTGGAAATCATCTCAATAGATGGAAATGACAGGCCCAGTGTAACAACCTGAAATTCAAACAGTGACAAATACTGCCTTCTATTTAGCATTTTTTAAAAAGCAATCTTAAATATCCAGAAGAGACCAGGCTGAAGAGCCGCTTTGTCTTAACCCCAGCATGTTTAGCTGCCCACACACCCAGTCCAGCTGGAAAGCTAAGACTTTGCATGGCACTTAGGTTGCGTTAGTAGATATACTGGGAGTGAGCCCCACCGTCCTCCCACTTGGCCACAACACACCTGAGCCACGGGCCCGGCTCTGCACCAGGGTAGAGGCTCTCATTTTCTCAGTTTCTAGCTATTCCGGGACACGGCCACCCCAAAGTGCCTATCCCTCCCCTTCTCAGCTGGCTTCAGCCTGGCAGCATCTGCTCTCTTTCCAGGAGAAAAGAGGCCACTCAACCCCATCCTTTCCCAGCTCACCTAACTTCTCTGGGGGCAGCCACATGCTCAGGACCAGGGAATTCAGTTGAGACTCGGGGTCCCCATAATGCCTTTTCCCCCAGAAGGGATTCACTTTCAAGGACTCAGTGCTGGGAACTCCTGAGGACGTGGAGCCACAGCTGCACCCCTTTCCCTCAGGGCTCCCTGCCTGTAACTCAGGAGTCTTTGGGAAAGGAAGGTGGCAAAGATGTCTTTCATCTTCCAGCCTTTCCACCCTCCAACCCCAGGCACCTTTACAAGCATTTGCACTTGCAGGATCTGAGGTGTGCTGGGGTCCCTTCTGGGGTTGCTATGACTGAGCCTGAGCTCTTAGAGGCGTTCTGGGTGGGAGTTCTGAGGTGGCAAAGGAGGTGTTGCTGGGAGAGGGTTGCAGGGCTCACCCGGCTCTGGGTGCTTATATAAAGGACCAGCACCTGGATTCTCCTTGCCATGTGGGCCCATCAGGAAGGTAGCACCTGCCCTTCATCCTAGACAGAGGTGTTGACTTTTGACTTCAGTTTTCCGAGATCAGTGCAGGTCCTGCCCTGCCTCTTCCCCACAGAGCTTATGGATCATGGAGGATGAACCCCCACCAGCGGTGAATAGGCTGCCCCGAACTTGGCTATGATGGTCCTAAAGCTTTCCCAGATCCCTCCCCTAAAGAGGGCTTCCCTTGTGGCTCAGCTGGTAAAGAATCCACATGCAGTGTGGGAGACCTGGGTTGGGAAGATCTGCTGGAGAAGGGAAAGGCTACCCACTCCAATATTCTGTCCTGGGGAATTCCATGGGGTTTCAAAGAGTTGGACATGACTGAGCGACTTCCCTTTTCACTTTCCCCTAAGAATGTGTCAGTTGTGCATGGGAAAGAGCACATGTGGATGGAGCCTGTGACTCTGGGCAATGGGCTGTCCTTTTGAAATGGGGCTGAGTAGCCCCGCAGTAGAGGGGAGAGGAGCCAATGGACCAGCCTCCAGCCCCTCCCACAACCCTCTCACAGGGCCATAACCTATACCACTATCTAAAAAAAAAAAAAAATGGGGCCTAAAGGAAGCAAAACATTGCAGCCACCCCAGGTTGGAGCTGCACGGTTCTCCAAGTGTAGTCCCCAGACCAGCAGTATCAGTATTACCTGCTGCTGCTGCTAAGTTGCTTCAGTCGTATCCGACTCTGTGCGACCCCATAGACGGCAGCCCACCAGTCTCCCCCGTCCCTGGGGTTCTCCAGGCAAGAACACTGGAGTGGGTTGCCATTTCCTTCTCCAGTGCATGAAAGTGAAAAGTGAAAGTGAAGTCGCTCAGTCATGTCTGACTCTTAGCGACCCCATGGACTGCAGCCTACCAGGCTCCTCCGTCTATGGGATTTTCCAGGCAAGAGCAGTATCGTCTGAAAGCTTGTTAAACATGCACACTCAGATCCCGCCCAGACCTGGATCAGAAACTCTGAGGTGGGACCAGCCTCCGTACTGACCCGGCCCTCATGTGACTCTGATGCAGGCTGGTGTGTGAGAACCCTTCTGTCCAAGAGGAAGAAGCCTTCTCAACTGGCTTTTTGCTGAAGGTCTTCAGAGAACCCTACTGTCTGTGTTTATCAGGAGAGGGGCATCACCCTCTGACTTGGGTGAGGGCTCTCTTTCTTGGGTCTGGGGGGTCAGAAGCTGCGGCTACTGGTCTGGCTTCACTTGCGTCTACATTCACAACCTTGAGGGTGACTTCGAGCCCACTTCCTTCATGTCTGCTAACTGTGTCTGTAGCATTGGTGTCCTCAGGTTCACGTGTGGCTTCTTTTCCGTCTCAAGAGACCCGTCTCAGAAACAAGAGCCGTTGTCTGGCGGCCTCTTGCCCTGGAACCCCCACTGGCTGGCCACGGCAGCCCCCTCCCCTTGGCTCTTCTGCTTTTCCAAGAGATGTTTCTCTTCACATTTGGTCCTAAGAAGTCTATCCATTAAAAAAAAATACTGCAAAAGCAAACCCAGCTCATTGCAAATTATACTGAAATGGACTGGAAAGATAGATGCTGCGGTCTCCCACAGCCTTCCCCACTCAGACCCTCCGTCACCCCCCAACACTCCTCCTGCCCCTGTGAGCCAAAGTCCTTGCTGTCTTGACAATTTGAAATTCTCTGCCTCTTGGGTTTGTTTAATTAGAAATAGGCTGGGAAGTGCTTCCTATGTACTGGCATGTTAATTGCTTATCACAGAAAGAGAAGGGGCGAGAGTGTGTGGTGATGGAAATTTCCACTGTCTCCATCTCCAGACTCTCCTCCAGCTTTCTCTCCCTCTCGCTCCGTGTCTCCTCTTCTTTCCTGTCCTGTCAGCCTCTCCTGCACACCATCCCCCGTCCCCAGATCTCCTGCTCCGTTACAGGGCTCTCTGGGGAGAGGTCCAGAGGCGCCTGCAGGTCAGGCTCCAAACCTGCGGGGCAAACCGGGCTTCTAGCTCCAAGCCCCCCCAACTCCCTCATCCCCCCCAGCCCCCTGTCACCCTCAGGCTCTGAAGGGATTCCGAACTGAGAGCTCTGTAGTTACACTCGGTATTTGAATGATCGCTTCTCTTTTGTTCCATTCCCCTCCCCTTATTATTGTGATTCTTATTTATTTTTATTTTTTACAAAACAGGAGCAAAACTGAAATGAGGGGAAGCGACACGTTTCTCCACGAAGGTACAAAATTGCCTACAGAAAGTCACCGTCAGTGTGAGCCGGCTGCTGGGCAGAGCCGTTCCTGGGCGTCCCTCTTCCATGCGTCCTTCCAATCCAGCGAGGGCCGGGGGGCGGCCCACGTGGGGAGCAGCTCCCCCCCCAGGTGGGGAGGAGAGGCCTTCAGCCCTTGCCCAGGGGCGGAAAGAGCAAGCAACTGAGACTGCACAGAGACAGCGAAGAGGAGGGAGTGCCTCCTGTGGGCCGGGGGCCTGGGGACGCAGGCAGGGGACATCCAGGCAGAGGCCCAGGACTCTCCGGGCAGAAAGACAACTGGGGAGGTAGGCGGCTCGGGCCAGAGTCCTTCCTGCTCCTTGGAGCCGCTCTTCAGAATGGCAGCCGAGGCGCCCCCCCGAAGGTGAGGCGGTTCCTGGAGGCTGCAGAGACACCCCCTAGGCCTCGAAGCTGGCTGTCTCAGTCCAGCTGCCAGGCCTCAAGCACGTGGGTCCAGGTCAATCTCCTGGCAGGGCGTCTGGCCCAGATCGCCTCCCTCTTGGTAAAAAGTAGTCCAAGTTATTTCTCTACTGCTGAGAACAGGCTGAGCTTCAGGAACTCTGTGACGACGGCGGGGACAGAGTCCCCCCTTCGGAGGACCTGGGCCACTTCCTCCCTGGATCCCAGTGCAGGACGAGGGGTGCCGACACCACCCGGGCGGAAGGGGTGCTCCAGCCCCAGAAAGCCCAGGCTGGGAGCAGAGGCTGCCCACCCAGGCCCTGCCTGGGCTGCCCGGTGCCAAGGTGGGCTGCCAGCCCAGCGGCCAGCAGGAGGACGGCGAGAGCCAGGATGGCTATGAGCCCGGGCTGGTCCCCTAGGCCTCTGTGGCAAGAAGCGGCCTCTGTAGTCCTGGCCCACACACAGGCCAACTGGGTGTGGGCATCCGCGAAGGCCACCTGCAGGCAGGCCCAGTACTCCGTGGCCTGAAGGAGGCGTGTGATGTTGTAGCTGTGGGTCCCCCGTGGCAGGCGGGCCAGCGCGGTGGCCCCATGGCCCTGGAGGGTGGAGGCGCTGGCCCAGGTGAGGTTGGTGGAGACTGTGTTGGGTGGGGAGACCCAAGACAGCAGGATGTGGTAGGGGTGGGTCTCCTGAACCCGGAGCTCCAGCCCCCAGCCCTTGTCTCTGCTGTGTTGCGGGGGGGCCCGGCCGACAACCACACTAACTGTCTTCGTGTCGGCCCCGACCAGGTTCTGGGCCACACAGGTGTACAGCCCTGCTTCTTGCACTGTCACCCTCCGCAGCTCCAGCGTCCCCTCAGGGTACACGCGGTACTTGCGGCCCGCCCAGGCGGCCGTCAGCCTGACCCCAGCGGGCGTCACCCAGTAGATCTCGGGCTCGGGCTCCGCCAGCGCCCGGCAGTGCAGCACCAGGCTGGCTCCGCTGGCCACCTGGAGGCGGCGGGGGAAGCTGCGGGGGGAGATGAGGGGCAGGCAGTGGTCCGTCATCTCCCGGAAGGCCACCTCCCGCACTGGGAGGCGCTGAAGGTCCGGGGGCTCGGCACACAGCGTGGACTGGGGCTCGATGAAGCGGACGCGGGTGCTGGTGGCGTTAGCCCAGCGGATGACACAGTCGCAGCGGATGGGGTTGCCATGGAGACCCACCTCCTGCAGGTTGGGCAGGGACTCCACGGTCTGCTGGTGCAAGGCACTGAGAGCATTATTGTTGAGCATGAGGGTCTCCATCTGGGGCAGGTGGTGGAAGGCTCGGGGGTGGATGAACGAGAGCCGAGGGTTGTTGGTGATGTCCAGCTTGGTCAGCTCGGGGAGGTTGACCAGGGCAAATTTGTCAATGGAGACCAGCTCCTCCATGTTGTTCAGCCCCAGCTCCTTGAGGTGCAACATGTTGGCAAAGTCCCCGGGCCCCACTCGCTGGAGTGGGTTCTTGTTCAGGTCTAGGAACTTGAGCCCCGGCACCTGCTCCAGCGCCCGCCGGGGCACACGGGCCAGCCGGTTGTCGTAGAAGGAGAGGCTCTCGAGGCTCTGCAGCCCCTCCAGGGCGTAGTCAGAGATCTCCCGCAGGCTCATGCCCGCGAGCACCAGGCTGCGCAGGTTGGCCAGGGGCCGGAAGTTCATGTCCAAGATGGCGTCCACCTTGTTGCCGCCAATCATGAGGATCTCCAGGCTGGGCAGCATCTCGAACCAGCGGTTGTCAACGGCCCGAAGCAGGTTGGAGTTGAGGTGGAGCCGCAAGAGGTTGCTGAGCCCCGCGAAGGCCCTGGGGGCGATGCGGTAGAGCTGGTTGTGGTTGAGATAGAGTTCCTGCAGGCTGGCCAGCCCCGCGAAGCTGTGGTCCTCTAGCCGGGTCAGCCGGTTCTCCTCCAGGTGCAGGCTCAGCAGCTGGGGCAGGGCACGGAGATCACAGTCTCGGGGGTCTGAGAAGCTGTTCTGGGACAGGTCCAGCTCTGTGAGATTGGCCAGGTAGCCCAGTTCACCCTGGTCCACATGGACGATGCTGTTGCTCTGCAGAAGCAGGGTCTGCGTGCCTGCGGGCAGCGCTGGGGGCACAGCCGTCAGGAATAGGTCATTGCAGTCCACGGTGGTGGCCTCGCGGTAGGACGATCGAGGGGTATACCAGGGCCGGATCTGGCAGGCACACCCAGGGGGGCAGGGCACGTGCCAAGGTACCACGGGCACAGTGGCAGTGGCACCAGCCACCCACGCTAGCAAAAGGGGGGCCACGAGGAGCCTCATGGTGGAGCTGCAAGGCAGGGGACCATCCACAAGGAGAGTCTGGAGTCCTGGTGCTCTTGGCAGTTTGCAGGCTGAGGGTCAGCAGCTCGGCCCAGACCCAGGGAACCACCCCCCCAGGGCAGTCATTCTATGCGGGGATGGGAGGACACCATGTCCTGCCCTCCTGGGAACAGTGCTCCATCCTGGTCTACAGGCACCGGGTCTGCTCACTCATCACCATGCCGCATCAGGGTAACCTGGAAGAAGAGGACGCAGAGTTAAGGAGGGTTCAAAGGATCAAATCTACCCGCTCCTCCCGTGACTCCCTCGTTAGACTCAAGAAGCCAAAGCACAAGATGAGCCAGGGCTCCTGAGTTCCATCCTACAGCCCTTCGGCTTTTTTGTCCTTTTCTCCCATCTGCTGGGGGAGTGACGGAGTCTTCTGGGGAGTCTTCTGAGCCTTGGAAGCTTCCCGGATAACTCGGCGAAGGTGTGTGTGTGTGTGGAGGAGAGGGGGTGGCTGGAATTGCCATCATCTTCAGAGTCCTCTGAGCCCAGAGAGACATGAAGTAGATTCTCCAGCCTGCCTCACTTCTCTCCTCACTTCCTCCTCAGCTCACTGAGTAAATGGGAAATAAAGTGATAGTTTTCAGATATCTGTCTGAACAGTGTGGGTAGAGGGTGGCAGAACCAAAGGTGGCTTTGCAATTCCAGGGTAAGCTCCTAAAACTTTGAAAGTTGAAAGGCAGTGGGCCCCAACCCTATACCCAGACTGGCTGGGGCGGTAGGGTGGTCGTCTAGGGTCTGCTTAGGCTGTCCTGGGATGGAGGTCGGCTTTGTTTTTTGCCAACTTCCCTACCTGGAGGTAGGGGTTTTCCCTTCTCCAGCAGCCTGGCCAAGCTGCTAGGAGGAGGAGGTGGGTTTAAGCCTGGGCCTGAGTCCTTCAGGCCTGCAGGTAAGATCTTACGTGATCTGCCCTCTGCCCATTCTCCTAGATTTGGCCACCATACTGACTCACTGCAGCCAATATTGTGGGCCAAAGTTACCCTTGACATTCACCCCTGTCTCCTCCTCACTGTCTCCCAGACAACTTCCACTTGTTCTTCAAAACTCAACTTAAGGCCAGTTAGCTCCTACAGAAAGCTGCTTCTCACCCTCTCCACCCCTGGAAGGCTAAGGGCCTGGCTCCTGCTCTCACAGTGCTCTCTGCTTTCTTCCGTCACAGCCCTGATCACACCATGTGTAAATGTCTCTCTAGCTGGGCACCTTCTCACTCATCATCATGCTTACAGCCCAGGGCAGGGGCCCAGGGAGGGTTTATCATATAAATCAATCTCTGTGGTCCCAGGGCTCCTTTCCCCAGGAGGCTGGGTCCTTACCCCTACCCCCATCTAGAATCCCAGCCACTGCTGTTCCTCCTTCCCAGGCATGGACAATCTGGTCTAGATTCTCTGGAACCCAGGGCCCTGCTGCATCACCCTTGATGCAAGTCCAGCCCTGGCCTAGAACCAAGATGGGGAACTAGAAGGCACCTCCAAGCCTCATCTGACTTCTGAGTGGAGGTCTGACTTGGTAGTTTTCCAGCTGTAGGCGTCAGGGGAGCACATGATTACTAAACACCTGCAATTTGCCAGGACCCAAGACTGTGCATGTCTTATTTCACTTAACCATCATAAAGAGTCGATAAGACATGCATTAATACTTCCAGTTTCCAGATGAAGAAACTGAGGTTCAGTTTGGAGAGTTTGGCTCCAGCCACACATTTGGCAAGTGGCAAGAGCCAGGAACTCAGAGGGTGTGCCCTTTATACTGTCCTCTGCCCCACATCTGCCCGACCCAATCCTGGGCACCCTGAGCTGTCCTGGCCGCTGCAGCAGCAGGCTGGGTGACTACTTCTGTCCCCTGAGGAGATGACTACTTGCCAGGGAGCTATGGGAAGCTGGGACCTGTGTCTCCTATCACCTTGTAGGCAGGTGCCTCTCAGCTGGCCAGAGGGGCTCTTTGCCTGCCTTCTCCCACTTCCAGGATGCTGGGGCTGGGAGGGGAACAGTTGGAGGCCTCCTCTGAGCAGGGGAGCGGCATGCCTGTTTACATTTGTCTACTTCCCACCTTCCTCTGCAGCTATTTCTGAAGGTGGGAAAAACAACATGACTTAAAATGCACAGAGGTTTTGCGTGGGGGGTGTGTGTACACTGACACATAAAACTCAGGGCAAACAAACACACATGTACAAAAGCATGCACACCTACATCCACGTGCAGAGGGGAGCCAGGGAACTCAGCCATGCAGGCCGGTGAGTGGAGGTCAGGAGGAGGGGTGCGGACTCTGCAATGTGCTATGTGGGTGCAGAGGAAGCAGGGCTGTCCCTGTCGTGGGGCTAGGACTGCAGTCCTGCCTCACGGGCACACAAGAGGCCTCTGCTTCTTGCCCAGGCCTGACTTGAGAGAACATTACCTACCATCAAACAGATCTTACTATTACTTATCACTTCCTACCAGAGCACTTTGGGAAAAGCTGTTTACTTTTCTGAGCATCTGCTCCTTTGGGTAGAATGAGCTCGTTGTTAGGATTGAAGGAGCTGGGTGCGGTGCACAGAGAGAGGGCTTAGTCTTAGTTCTCTGCATCCCCCAGGATGGGGAGGCACCCCAGCTCCAGGACTTCTTAGAGGGGATAGAAGTTGGATCCTAGGACTTAACCAGCCCCTATGAAGCTTGCCCACTGTAGGCCCAGTGTCATCCCCAGGTGGGTTGGGGCCCTGGGGGCAGAGCCAAATGCCACACCTTTAAGAGTTCTACTCTGGCAGGACCAAAAATGCAAAATGATGAGGAGAGCCCAAGACAGCTCATGAGGGAAGAGAAGGCCGCAGTGGGTAGGGAGGGCCCCGAGCCTTGCCCAAGCCCCAGGCTCCTCCTCCAGCGCCTCTGTCCTGGCACCTCTGTTCTTGGATGCACAACTGTGTGAAGGGCATCGAGAAGCCACTTAAAACTCATTTAAAATGTTCAGAGACGTGCCTTTCCCTCCACCCCATGCACACCCACCTCCTTGCCCTGTGGCTGGGCTGGGGGGTGCGCCGGCATCTAGAGAGGGGCAGTGACTGGATGCCTCACGTTCACATGCACCTCTGGCCCGGATGCTTGGCAAAGGCCTAGACAAGTCCTCCCCCTCACTGCTGAGCTTGCAGCCCCTTCCAGGATAGAACTTAGAGCTGCCCACTCACCTGCCATCACTGCTTAAGGCTGTCTTGCACATGGCCCACTCATGCATTTGATTAGCAGTTTCTGCTGGGAGCTGCAGAGAAAGCTAATTGTCTTTTATCTATAATCTCCCTGGGTGAGCAAGAGTTCAGATTATCACATGTATGCTTTCCCCAACTGGATTGCAAGCTCTTGGCAGCAGGGGCCGTGTCATGCATGTTTTTGTGTCCCCATGGTGCCAAGTGTAGGACTGAGTGTGCAAGGGTACTGGTGAGTGGATACAAAGAGTGAAGTATGTAATTCTCCTATCGATCCTGTGTGCAGGCAGAGAAGGAAGAGATTATTTAGTCTCACTTTGCAGCAGAAGCAACTGAGGCACCAAGAGGTTAAGTGACATGTTGGAGGTTACATAGCTTCTGACGTGGTGGGGTCAGAATTCAAACCCAGATCTCTGACTCCATAACCTGCCTCCCCAGCCCAGCCAAGGTTCACTGCCTGGCAGACCGATGCCGGCCGGACAGGAGCAGGATGCAGGGCTGGTGGCCCAGCAAGCGTGCCCCAGAGGCCAGCCCCCTCAGGGACGACCTCCCCATCTGCCCCTCCTCCCCGACGGCGACCTGAGGGGGCCCTCGGGCACCATGCCTTGATTCCTGGCTACAGGGACTCCCGTGGGGACACACAGAGAAGACCCTGCTCCTCTGTGAGGTGGCACAGACCTCAGTCTGCCTCTGGACCGGGGGCTGGGGGCTGCCGTGTGCAGACCGCTGCAGCCTTGGCCTTCAGTAAGGGGGATGCAGGGTGATCTAGCCCAAGAAAAGAGAGGAGCAAAGCTTCTCCTGGAAAAGCTGGCTCTGCGAGCCCTGATGGACCCCCCTCTTCTGGGCAGCTGCTCTGGACCTAGCAGAAAGTATGGAATGGACTCCACACACTTCCCACTGAACCCCGATCCTAGGCAAAGCACCAAATGAAGAATTCTGGAGAAGCTGGCATCAGGGACAGAGTGGCCCTTCTCCCATTTCTCTGGCCCAGCAGGGCCAGTGGCTCCTGCCAGCAGACCGCGCCACTCCTCCAGATGGCCGTGGGTGCAGAGCGGCTCTGTCCCCCCTGCCCTCCTCATAGCCCAGCCCCCTGGGCTGGGAGCCCTCAGAAGGGAGGAGCAGCAGGCAGTGATCGATGGCCTGGCTTTCACTGCAGCTTCAGTGCCAGGGCCCCCTGAGCTGCGGAGACAGATGGGAAGCATAATTGAGTGTAGCGTTGATAAACTCCGGCCTCCTCACTGGCAGATAAGTGCTGGGTGGGGGGACGTGAGGGGCAGGGGCGGGGGCAGCACCTGGCCCCTTAGAGCTCCTCCTGGGAGGGGAGCACAGCCCTCACTCCCGCCTCCCATTTAATCACAGACAACCAGGACCTCAGGGCTGCAGGAGACCTCAGTGTTTATCTGGTCTTCCAGAGTCTGAATTCCATAAATAACTTATGCAAAGGAGGGGCGGTGAAGCAGAAGGAAGCCGGTCTCTGCGATCAGAGCTTTGAGTTTGGGTCTGCCGCTCACTGTGCGACCCTGGGCAAAGTCGGTGACCCAGGCAGGGACGTGAGGATGAGACCTTCTCACAGAGCTGCTGTGAGGAGCCCGGATCAACGTGTAAGACGTGCCTGTGTGTGGTCCTCATGGCCCCCTTTCCCGTTGCCTCTCCTCCCATCTTAGCTCCTACTACTCAATTCTCGCCTTTTGTAGTAAACTTTTCCTTTCTCTTATTCGGGTATAATAAGAGAGTACATAAATGGCACAAATCCCAAGTGTGCAGCCTGGTGAATTTCTACATTAGTAGA